ATGACTCTCTCGATTCTCTAACAATTCTATTGTCTCTTTTTTCGGTTCTACTTTCGCTTTCTACTTTCACAAATTTCTCGTCTCTTCTACAGTTTTTTAATCTTTCTCACGGCTCTTTCGTTTTCCTCACAGCTTCCTCGTCTCTTTCTCAGAACCCTCATATCTTTTCCGAGTTTCTTGTCTTTTTTACCGCTTTTACCTCTTTTTCAGGACTTTCTCGCTTTTCTAACAATTTCCTTGTTTCTTTCTCGGTACCTTCGCTTCTTTCACGACTTTCTTGTCTCTCTCATAACTTTCTCGTCTCTCCCACGGCTATCTTATCTCTATCTTCTTGTTTCTTTGACAGCACTCTCGTCCCTCTCACAGCTCTCTTGTTTCTCTTATGACTTACAACTGGTGATGATATACGATCTATTTTATCAATATAGTAAAATTAAATAAATACATAAAATTAGATAAAAAGAAATGAATCAAATCAAATAAAAAATATAATGAAACAGAATATAAAATGAATTAAATACAAAATTAAGGAATGATATAAGTAAAATAAATAAAATCAATTAAATAAACAAATAAAATAAAAAATAAAATGCAAAGAAAAAAAGTAAATAAAATAAAATATGCATATATTATTACTACTATTATCTTAAATAAAATTTAAAGGCATTACAAGATTATTTGTTGGTACATATTATTTTAAAGTTATTAGTGAATGTATATTTAATCTTTTTAATTTAAATAAAATATTTACTGTTAATAAATAATGTATTGTTAGCATAAATTGCATGTATTATATTTCCATAAATTATATATAAAAAAACGGGCGTGCCAAGTGTACTGCTGCTGGAGATTTCTCCCCATCTTTGATTTTTCCGTCACGTAATTTGCTACTTGTTATCGATGCAAAATTTCTGCCCTTCCCTTTTTAATTTCTGCGGCTCTCATTACACTATCTATTGCATTTCTTGTTTTTATTTTATTTTTTCGTTATTTATATTTTTTTATTTTAAATGTTTTCCGTATTTTATATTAAGTCTACTACGATTGTGAGAGATAGCTTCTTAGAATATTGTACTATTACGAATTTCTTTAATCAGGAGACGCAGTAGCGTCTCCCGCCAAGTATATTTTTTCGCTACATGACGATTAGGAGACGTTTTTGTATTTGTACTTAACAGAGACGCTACAGTGTATCCTTTACCGGACGGATAACGATTCTGTAGGAATAAATTATTATTTCTTTTAATTATACGGATAATATCGGTAAATGCCTAATTTTGTGAAAAAATCTATATTTTTCTAATCACAATACTGTAACAGCGATATCCATAAGTGCATTTGATGCATAAGCGCATAAAGTGTATGCAC